AAAAAAAAAAATAATAATAATAATAATAATAAATAAAAAATAATGAGAAGTTCAAATTGCTAGAATAAAAATAAAAAAAAAACAGATCAAGAATAAAAATTGTGAAAGAAAAATTAACTCTTCTCTTTCATTGTTCCCTCGCTAATAACAGCAGAAGAAAAAAAGAGACTATTTCCTCTTGTTTACAATTTGCCTTCGCATATCCCATATTGCAACATAAAACCAAATTTCAAAAAGACCGAAAAAGCGAAAAAAAACAATATGAAATATGTAAACTGTATAGAAACAAACAAAGAAAAAAAAATAAAAACTTAAATTGTCAAATAACTGAAAAATCTTCAACGACAGTGTTTAATTAGTGAAGAAAAAAAAAACTCCAAGTCAAGTTGAACACCGATACCTCTGCTATTGCTGTTGCCGGTTCACCGTTACTGATGTTCAGTTGCCTGCTTGCCCAAGATTGTTGCTGATCGCTGTGATCAGCACGGATCAAAACACCCAATACCACTGACTGACTACTGTACCAATGTGCCGATGACGTCTGTGTGTATTCTCAGTTGCTTCTGAACGGTAACGGGAACAGGAGGCAGGGCAACAGCAACAACAGCGCCGGCACACTCATACAGCACAGCACATCACAACCACAGCCATCACTACCACAACCACTACCATCACCATCACCAATATCATAATCATAATCATAATCATAATCATAATCATAATCATAATCACCATCATCATCATCATCATCATCATCATCGTCAACACCGCCGCCGCCGCCACCAACCAAGCAACCAACGATGAAGGACAACACAGAGAGAAAATGAATTTGTCGCACTTACTCTGGATGTATGTACGTATTCATTGATAGAATATATCGATGAATGAGTGGATGAAGAGATGGGTGAATGAATGGATGGATGGATGAATGGATGGATAGACGGATGAACCGATGGATGCAGCATCAACAGAAACAGAAGCCGCACACGATGCAACGACTGCACTGCCCTCTAATTTTCTTGACGCTATCATATCCCCTGTGCCCTATTCTCCTATATACATATGGATAGACAGATCGAAATATACGCATTTACATATGTTTATAAATGAATTTACTTATCCTTATATTCTTATTTATTGCAACAAAATACTAAATTGAATCATACTGAGAGAAGAAAAAAGTAATAATAATGATAATAATAGTATAATGATAATAATAGGAACAATAATAATAATAATAGGGAATAATAATAATAATAATAATAATAATAATAATAACAATACTAATAACAATAACAATAATAATAATAATAATAATAATAATAATAATAATAACAATAATATAAATAATAAATAATAATAATAATAATAATAATAATAATAGTAATAGTAATAAATAATAATAATAATAATAATAATAATAATAGCAATAATAAAAGTAAAAGAAAAAAATAAAGCAAAAGAAAACAAAACAACATAAAGC